AGACCCTTTGTTCCCAGAAGCCCTGAATCTCAAGACAATGTGAGAACTGCTCATGGAGTGTTTACACTGAAAGGGAATCAACTGGTAATATGATGTACAAGCAACTGTGGTGAATTATGGATTATGTCCCATATCATTACATGAGGGATCACACGCTTACCTCACCAGCAGCTGAAAATTAGTAGCTATTGGTCAACAGTGGAAGGGGCCTACGCAACATGATCGGTTGGAGGGACTACCTAACAACAACGACAGGTGATTTGATTACGACAGCTCGCACACAAGGTAATGGAGTCACTAAGGTGGTCGTCTAAGACAGGTATTATTGCTTAGTGTGATAGGGGTTGTGTGTTAAAATATGGTGGCTGCGGCCGCGTTGGACAGGTGCCCGTTTTACACAGTGAAATTATATATATAGAAAAAACGCAAGGGGGGAAATGGAAAGTGTCCGTTTGTGCAGGTGGCCGTCTTATAGAGGTGGCCGTCAGGCCAGGTTTGACTGTATGTTAACTCATGTTACTAAAACAGTATTCAGGCATGAAATATTGGTGATTCCCCAGATTGCAAAATGCAAGAGTCTGTACCTGGCAATACTTGTCAAAACAGATTTAGAGGGAAATAACTCGATCATCTTTGCATTAATTTCAACAAAACTTTGCACAAATAGATTTTACAAAGCAAATGAAAAAAATTGTCAATATCATCAATATGTAGAAAATTAATGTGTAATCAATGTAATAGTTTATATTAAGCTCTTTTCCTCTTTTTATGCTCGTTCCATTTCCCTGCTCATTCCTCTCTGCCCATGCTTGGCCTCTCAGCCTTCTGAAAACTGCTTTCTACCCTGAACTTAACAGCTGGTCATCTAGAAATACTTATTTGAGAATGTTTCTGCCTTTTGCAGAAGTAAACTGAAATAAAACCCTTTCTCTTACTATTTGAGCCACCTCTCTAAACAAAGAAAATCCAGTGGCCATCGCAGATTTCGGTTTAAGCAAATTCCAGTGTATTACATGGTGTAACGGTGAAAATATACAATTTTCTGCTAAATATGTTAACTCATGTTACTAAAACAGTATTCAGGAATGAAATAGCGGTGATTCCCCAGATTGCAAAATGCAAGAGTCTGTACCTGGCAATACTTGTCAAAACAGATTTAGAGGGAAATAACTCGATCATCTTTGCATTAATTTCAACAAAACTTTGCACAAATAGATTTTACAAAGCAAATGAAAAAAATTGTCAATATCATAAATATGTAGAAAATTAATGTGTAATCAATGTAATCTAGATCTACGTATAGAATAAATATTCCTCAATGAATGATAACAGGTTCCAAATTGGTCTTTCATCATTTCATCACTTTCTTCTCCTTTTCAAGACTTATCCAAATAGTCATTGTCCAAATCAACACTGTGTCCATAAAAATTTTGTCCAGCACTTCAGGTTCGGTGAAATACCTTTTCTATACAGTGGCGTGGAAACCTGATATAGCAGGGATGGTGGGAGTAGAGAAAATGTCCTGTTATATCCGATCCCTGTTAAATCAGAAATGCAAGGAAAGTATGCTTTTGTCGACCAATCCAGCTGTACTTATTCATGGGTAGTTTCCCTCGCCACAAGTACCCACGAACAGGGGTTTTAGAACCAACTTTCTCCTTGCCTCTTTAAACCATACCAGAAGAGCTTGGTCGTCAGCATCTGCATCGGGTAGTCTCATCTTCTTTCGATCCTGAGCAAACTTTCCATTGGAGTATGCTACCACTACCACTATATTCTCTCTATCCTTGATAATGATGTGAATCGAACCTAGTGGAATGTCGAACTGACGACAAATCTCTGCCAGTGGAGCTTGCTTTTTGTCAACAGCCTGGATTATTTCGTATTTTTGTCTGTGTTGCTACGTGTAGGTTTCGGGCTAGATTGGGGTCTGCAGCACACCGCAGCCCTCTCTCGCTTCACACGCTGCGTGTGCTTGCAATGTCTCTCTCTCTCTCTCTCTCCCCCTCTCCCTCTGTCTTACTTTTTACACATTGTTAACGAGCCTTTGTCCCTGTTATAACCGGTTGAGCTCTGATGATGCCCTGTTATTGCCGATAACTTTTAATAGAGACAAAGAGTGGGAAAAAACGGGGATTTAAAAAATCCCTGTTATTACCGGATCCCTGTTATTACCGGGCCTGTGATATATGGTTTCCACTGTACTAATTTTATTGCTTTCCCCATATAATTGCCAGAAATCGGAAGCAAAATATCTAAACTGAAGTAATCGATGGGTTAACGAAAACATAAACATGTTAGGAGTAGGAGAAACATGGACTGGCCTTCGTTTAGATCTAGGTCATTTCGCTTGAGGGGAAGCAGTTGGACTTTGCGAGTATAATAATAATAGATAGCATCTGTATAGCACAAATCCCCGCTCAACAGCAAGCTCTATGCGCTTGCGCTTCACAATCTATACCATTACCCCAGCAGACCTGAGAGCATTCTGAAACAACCTCAACTTCCTAGGAAGCATACAGTGCAAGCAGCCATTTATAGGCGCTAAAACCCTAACATACTGACAAGATCTTTGGCTGTCTACG